TAAAAATAAAATTAATATTTATTTTTGTGTTTTTTTTGCTATTATTAATTGTCGGGGATGATGCTGAGAATTTAATTTACTTTAATATAAAATTTTATAAATATTTTGGGCTATTTTTTTTGAATTTTTTTTTAAGGTGAGGTTAGAATTTAGGGTTAGAGTTTATAATAAAAGAGTATATGTGGATTTTAGTAGAGTTTATATTCTTAAATGAGTTTATATTCTTAAATGAGTTTATATTCTTAAATGAATTTATATTCTTAAATGAGTTTATATTCTTAAATGAGTTTATATTCTTAAATTGAGACCCCAAATTCTCAGCATCATCCCCGACATTAATTAACGTGTTTCATTCTTATATTCTGAATTTAATTATATGTTGATAGGAATTGATACGTTCTTTTCAACTGTCACATTCCGATACGGTCATAGTGAATTAAGGTAGATATTATATGACATTGCTTTTTACTGAAAATGTATCTAATTAATTCTCGAAATTATTCAGTGATTTTTACAGAATTCAAGACGAATATGGTGATACCCTTTATAATTTGGCTTTGAACGATATTAAAAATTTCACACTTTTAGAACAACTTGGTCTAGAAAGGGTGCTTTGGTCATTAGTTCTTCAACGTCAGGAGGAAGTTGATATTTTCTTTGCAGATTCGACTAAAAAATATATTGCCCCTGACCTCGTTACTTATGATATAGCAGCTTTTGACATCTTTAGAAGTAGAGATCGTGGTAAGACATTTATCTAATCAATTAAATTCTTGAAATTCTTAATTTGTCATCTTTAAAAAATAATAGTTTTTTATAAATATTATTATAGGTATCCCTTTATATAATGTAGTACGACAATATTATGGTTTTTCTAAAGCTAAGTCATTTGCCGATATTTCTGCAAACCCTAATATTCAAGCAAACTTGGCTAAAATCTATCCAAATGGTGAATACGACTGCTTATTATATGATTAATTGGTTTACTATGATTATTAGTTTACGAATTATGTTACTCTAGGTGTTGATTCAGTGGAAGCATGGGTTGGTGTAATGAGCGAAGACCATTTAGATGGCTCAAATGTTGGCAAGGTTATAAATGCAAGTATGGTAACACAGGTAATTGATATTTATTTTTTATTTTTTATTTTTATTTATTTATTTTGTTTTATTTTGTAAATCTTTCATTTTCATTATTTTGTTTAAGTATGTGCATATTAGAGACTCTGATAGATTTTGGTTTGAGAATCCTGATATGTTTAATTCAGATGAACGAAACATTATAAGAAATACAACATTCCGTGACATTATTATTCGTAATCTTAACAAAAATATAAGCTTCCCACAAAATATTTGGACTGTTCAACCTCAAATGAACCTTAATAATAGTGATGATGACAACTATCGAACCAAGATTAATATTTGGACACAATATATTATAAGTTATAGGATTGATTTATTATATGTGTACTTTAAAGTTCAACTTCAAACATCGGATGGTAATGGATGGTTCGGAATGGTGAGTTTATATTATGCCCATTTTATTTTTAATGGCTAAGCAATATAAGAAAATTTTGTAACATAAATTTAAAAGACCCCCAATATTCAAGGAAATATAAAATCATAAAAATTTCTTATAAAATTTTTATAATTATATATAAACTAATTCAGCAAAATTATGAAAACCAAGAAATAAATTGAGTTGAATATGGCTTTTATTTAGTCCACTAATTATATTAAATCTTTCAGGGGTTTGGTCCTGAAGATAATGGAATGAAAGGAGCAGAATTTATCATTGGCCGTGTAAGCTACATTGAAATATATTGTATAAAATCTATTCATATGGACAGAAGAAAATCTTATTATCTAAAAATTTTTGTATTATTTTATTAAAGGTTATTAATGGAAATGTCACCTTAGAAAATTACTATGCTGATGTGGGCGGTTATCACCCTCCTTTTCGTGATTTTCATCAAGACCCCGATCTTGTACCAAAGTTTTCTATGTCTGATAGTAAAGCAGTAACCGTAGAGTTTAAAAGACTTCTCCGTCCTCCGAGAAGAAAACCAATTACAAATGATAATATGAAATGTGTGATATCTATTTTATTAGAATTTATAATACTTTAAATTAAATATTGATTACTTATTTTTTATTATATATACAGATATCATGGCTTATAATCCAAATAGCAATGCTTTTTCTTATCATTTAAATAATCGCATGTTGGTCCGTGTTAACTTTTATAATAGTGAAATTAGCGCTGCAACAGCGACTTTATTTCAATTATTGATTAGAGTTGTTCATGGATGTGGAATGTTCTTTACATGGTGGTAAATATCATTCTTTTTTATTTCTCGTAAATTCTCATAAATACGGTAAATTATATGAGCAATAATCTTTCTTATGGTTTTTAGCATCTTATTTCCAATATCAATTTTTATTGTTCGGTACTGTAAGGTAGGCCTCATACTATATTATTAAGCTTCATAATGTCTTTATCACCTGTATTATTAACATAGAATTTATTGTTTTATAGCATTTTGATATGCACCTTAAAATTCATAAATTTATGCAATTGTTGGGCGGTATTTCAATTTCAGCATTCGGATTTGCTGCTATTTCTACGGTGGTAAAAACGCAAACGCCACATGCATGGTTATTATTTATATAAAAATAAAATTAATATTTATTTTTGTGTTTTTTTTGCTATTATTGATTTTATTAATTATTCATAAACTTTAGGATGGGATTGTTTATATTTACCGTTTCATTTATTGAAATGGGTATTTATTCAGTGAATATAAGTTTTACAGTTAATTGATTTATAGTTAATGGTTGATTATTTCATAGGCCTTGGTCTAATTGCTGTTTGGGGACAAACATCTGTGATATCAGTTAATAAGGTTGGTTAACATCTTTATTGTTTATTGTTTAGTAAATTAGTTAATCATGTTAAATCATTGGGTAGGGATATCCAAGGTTTACAAAACGTTTTCATCAAGCATTTGGTATATTGTTGTTAATATTTTCATGGTAAAATATTTATTGTAATTGGCTTTTTTATTTTATTATTATATATATATATATACTAAATATTTTTTTCAACTTTTGCATTTACCAATATAAAAATTACAGGATTAATATATATTTTGGTAATTCATTAAATAAAACCAATTCTCTAATATAGTTATAGAAATTTAATCTAATTGTTTATTTTTTAGGAATTGATACTTTTTGTCTTTCCTATGGCTAGTAAGTATAATTTATCAATATACTTAATGTATCTTATCAATTGTATTTTTGATTTATCAAATTTTACTACAAAATAGTGAATCATTTTGGTGGAAAACTGCGTACTTTTGTTGGATGGCTATAATTATTATTTTCTTCTCAATTGGTGAATTTTGGTGGCATTTTGAGGAAATTTTTCAGAAAATCCACTGTATTAGTGATGAGACAGTTGTTAAACAAAAAATTATGATGCATACTCATATCGATTATGAAGATTATGCTAAGTTACCTGAATTTACTTGGGAAGAAATTAATGAGTGTGTTCAGCGTGGGGTAGGTTAAATTATTTATTCGATTAGATTTCAATTCCACGTGCGTTTTTTAAATAACTAACTTATGTTTCATAATTTAGGCTCATTTGGTCGTTTGCGACAGACTTGTGGTGGATTTTCTTGATTGGATCCATTCGCATCCAGGTCGGCATTTTTCCGATCATTATTTCTTGCACAAATTTAATAACTAATACATAATACTTCCATTTAACAGGAGGTAGCAAAATATTAGTAAATGTATATATAACCTTTATTTGATCTCTAAGATATCTGTTTACATTAATCAAATTAAGTGTAATTAATTGTATTATTTTATTATTATTAGGTTATTGGAACAGATATTACGGATGGTAAGATTTATTCTAGTTTCATTTTTTAAAAATATTTGCTAAATATAAATAAATAATATAAATAAATATTTTCAACATATTGTAGATTTTTACAACACACACCAAAACATGAAAATTTCTGAAGAAATAGATTCTCGAGAAGCTTTACTTATTCCAGAGGATAAGCTCTCCGAAAAATTTTCATCTGTGCTTGCAAAGCATATAAGTCACCTTCAAGGGGTGCCGATACCTCAAAAACTATCCACAGTTTCCAGATTAATTGATAATCTTAACAAAATGTATTATCTAAAGGCACCGTTAGCACAACATGCTCATAGTAGGTTTGCTGCTCAAAAAATGGCATCAATGGTAATAGGCAAAGTGGTTGAAAAAGAACCTTTGGTCCAAAATGATTATATCACTTTTTCAAAAATTCAGGAAAGCGAAAGGAGTTTTGTTGATTATAATAGAACATTTTCAAGTACAATCAAAAATATCCAATTTCATCGTTATAAGCTTACAAGTAAAGTAATGGTCAATGCAAACGTCAAATATCCTGTAATAAAGTTTACATTTTCTAGAGTACATCAGGAAAGGAAAAATGTTAGCAATCAAAAATTCTTGCCTGGGCATTATATTGAGATGCAATCTAGAGTAAAAGGCCAGAATGTGATCAGGAGTTATACTCCCTTAGAAGGCAGCTTATTTAAGTCGTTTTCAATTTACGTTAAAATTTATCCTAATGGGCTCTTTTCTCAGCATTTGGTATGTACATTATTATTTTTAATATTATTTTGAATATTATTTAATAAGATTTCTTTAAATCCATAATAAAAATGTTTGGTTGTTTAGAATGAACAGTTAATAGGATATGAAATTCAAGTTCGTGGTCCATTTGACATTTGTAATAGACCTAGATCTAAACCATATCTTATAAGTCCAATAAGTCCATTAACTTCAACGCAATATTTTAATTGGGAGGCAAGTCTTTATTCACCCACGAGTCCTTACAATAAACTTATTGGATCTCCTGGAACCTTGTCTCCTATGAAAACTTTTCTATTAAACCCAAATAGTTCAGACGGCTGCTGGGATGAATTATATATGATTGCCGGTACTTTTTTTTTTTGATATTTCTGATTAAGCGAATGCCATAACTTACATATTTTTTTTTAATATAATCACAACCTTTTTTCCTATGTTCTTAGGCGGTACTGGAATAACACCAATGTTGCAGGTAATATTCAGTGTCGATGATTTTCTGCGGTGGTATTTGTTTATTTTTAAAAAAATAAATAAGTTAAAAATTATAATTTAATCCTAAATTACAACAGTTAATTAAGTATCATCTGGAACAGTCAGCAAAACGAAATAACGACTCTAAGCAAAATGTTAATTTTAAACGAATGCATTTATTATTTGGAAACCGCAAAATTGAAGATATTATTGATGGTATATTACTTGAAGATCTGGCACTTTCAAGCAGGGGACAACTTACTGTAACATACTGTCTTTCAGATCCGCCTTCAGATTGGGTTGGTTTTCAAGGGAGAATCGGTCCACAAGTAATACAAAATTGGATGAATATAGTGCGGGGTAGCGATTATACACATATTCAAGATCATTATATACCCTATAACTCAGACGAGCATAATGAGAGTTCTTCGCCAGAAATCAGCTCCAGGTTACAATCATCACGTGAAATTTCACAAACCTTGCCGGTTTTACCCTATGGGACAGCAGATATACAAAGTTCTGCAATAGAATCAAAATCAAGAAAAATAAATTCGTCAACGGAAAGAATACCTGAAAAAATTAATCTGGATTTAGTAGCTTCTATGAAATGGGATAATTTAATGGGTGAAAAGGTTATTGTTTGTGGACCACCTAGCATGATGGTTACTGTTGAAGAAGTTTTGCTTAAGATGGGATATGATGAGCAAGATATTATTATATTATATTAGATTAATGCATTTTAGGATATATTTAGGATATATTTGTCTAAAATTATTAAATTTACCCGTAAAAAAAAAAATGCCAAGAATTTTACTGCTTAATATGTTAAATATACTATTTGCATTATTTTAGCATTTGTAAAAGCAATTTTTATGCTGCATTCTAATTAAAGAAAATAAAATTAAAAAAAATAATAAGATATTTAGAAATATTACACGTATAATTTCACTATAGAGGTGAGATTCATGAATAAATATCCATTTTATATGATTTCTGTAAGAGAATTCACGAATATACATTGAATATAATATTATGTAATTTAGCTATGTTTTATCTATATTTCTAAACAAAAAATATTCATCGAAGATGACTATCCACAAAATTTGTATAACTGTATTCATCTTATGTAACGTTACACGATTAGGAAGATCAAAACAAAGCGCTCGTTTTTTTCAAAAATCGCTTATTCCTCAAAAACTAACATAAGAAACCACCTTTTGTGCTCTAACAAAAAAAATTCCTTGTGCAATTTTACTATATTTCTGCTAATACCCAGCCCTATCGTTGAGGCCAACCCTAACCTAAACGAACTTGAAGATTTTTTAAACTTGTCACGTGAAAGTGAAAATTTTGACGGCGATACTGGGGAAGATCCAAAAGAGAAAGTCTACTGACACCTACCAGCTCACGTGATTTTGTACCTACCCTAAGTTAGGTTAGGGCAGGGACACAGAAATATTCTTTCGATTTAAACCAAAAATTTCGATCGATTTAAGCAAAAATTTCGATTTATTTCGATTTGGCTAAACTTAAGCTTCAAGTCAAGTAACTCTGGCTGGAATTATGAAGATCACGTGGTTGTTTCGAATTTCGGAGGCTTAGCTGTGCTGTGAATTTCAATCACATGATAACATTTGTCTTGAGCCAATAATATCATTTCATGTGATTTATTTTTATATGTAACTTGGAGCAAAAAATTGTGAAAAATTTCGATTGGGGCAAAAAAATTTTGTTTTCTTTTGAAAAGTTGCTTTCGAAAAATTTCCGTGTCCCTGGGTTAGGGTAGGTATATTAGCACGTGATAGGTTTTAGTAGGTACAAAAATTGCCCGATTTGGAGGTCGGCTAAAGCGGAGCGAGTTTTGATTGTCTACATGCACGATGTCGATCACATGAATGATTATCTATTTTGCATATCGATCATGTGCATAAATACAACCAATTACCACTTCACTAAAAATTTATTCTTTTCGATGTTGTCTCTTCAAAAAAAACTTGACCTGATGATTTTCTCTTCAAAAAAAACTTGACCCGATGATTTTCTTATATCAAGAACTATAAATCAACTATGATTTTTATTACATTGTCAATTTAAATATTATATTTATATATATATATTATCCAGTATGGACCATACATGTATAAATAGTTAACGATTATACCAAATTCTAAGAATTTAATAGCTTATTGTAAAATACATAGATTAAAAAATAACATTTGGAGGGCCGATCACATAACTCTTCCTGACGATCACTTGTACCAAATTCTCTTTACAAACAATTTGATTTTTTAGACAATTTTACTAGGTAAACTGTTGTTGGCTGTCTAAGTAAACTTGTTCTTTACAAGATTTTACATATAGGCGGCCCTTTATTATATCTCTTTAGCCCTTCTATGAAGAGATATAGCACACTTGATAAAATTCTTTTTATTTAAAAATCTCAAAATTTTATTAAGTAAATACTATTGCTTTCTTAATAGAAACAAATAGAGCTCATCAAGAGCTTCATTTTGATATATAATACATAGCAAACAGACTTAATCTATGTTTTTATCTTCAAAACTCTACAAACTCTTTTGCAAAAATTCTGCTAATTTTTTTGCAAAATTTTTTGTTTTTTTGGGAGGGGGTCCTGGCTCCTTAGGACGCCCAAACCTGCAGATCACTATTACAAATCAATATTACTAATTAATTTACACAAAATATTATCTGTTTTACCTATTTTTATCTTTATTTTTAATTTACTATTTTAGTCTTAATAACTTTACACAACTTTTGTTACACTATTGTTATGTCACACCAGGTCACACAAGTACACAAGCCACACCAGTCACAATATACTTATCTTGTTGTTACATAAGGTTACACAAGGTTACACTGACCAGCCATACTAACCGTAATTTAATTTAACCCCTGTTTTTAGTTCAACCCCTAAAAACAACTTTGTTAAATTTAACAAAAATAAGTTTTTTTTAGTAAAAACTTAGAATTTTTCTTACAAAATGCCTACTTTAACTAGCCAGGAACCAGATCATTATGACCTGGACTATTTTCACAACAAATATAGTGACTGATATGGCACAATGATTTGTGAAGTTCAACCTAGCTTATTGAAAGCAATGCCTTTCGCATTCAATCCAAGTGAATGCAGTACTCTAAAAACTCACCATTTCTTCCGTACATCTAAAGAACCAGCTATCGTCTGTTGTTTCTGTCAAAAATACCACACTTTCTTTACTTCAAGTTACTTAAATATTCCACCCAGACAAGCTACTCCTCCTCCTTCTTAACAATCCAAAGCCATGTCTATAGATTTAACTTCCAAACAAGTTAAAAATTTAAAAGATGATATTCCACAATCTCCTATCGCCAAATCTACTTCTATTCTTCTCTTCTATTTCCTCTTAACTATTCTGTTACTTCAACATCTAGTAGCTCATCCCAAACACCTCAAATACAAGCACACTCCCATCATGCTCATACATGCATCATCTGCAAACTCAAAGATATTCCCTGCGCATTTTTACCAAACAACAAACATACACTCCTTAGTAAAGCTACTCTGGTTCTTAGAGGCTATCTGGCACATGCAGCATGCATTTACAAACTTAAACTTCGACCAATTACCCAAACTCATCCACTTACACCTGAAGCACATTATGCTTTTCATGTAATTAAATTCGCATTAATGAGAAAGACAGAAAAATGTCAAGTTTTTAGAAACTTCTTGCAGCTAATTAAGAAAAAACAAAATACCAAATATGCTAAATAAGATACATCAAATGACCTTGACTGGTTCAAAACATATCCTATTACCTCTACAATGGAACCCTTTTCTAAATTCGATACACCACTTGCCCAGCAAATCTTTGAATTTGTTAAGCCATTTCTTGTTGACTTTGCCCCAGGACAAGTTAACAAAAAAATCAACAGACCA